TAAAGGATTGAAGAATCTGGCATGAAATGCCATCTCCAGTCCTTCCCACGTCTGAATTTGTCCAGGAGGCAGACTTGCAAACCACGAAAACGCTGTTCTAGTAAGAGATAAACCAAACAGTTGCAACTTATAAAAAGGGTTATTACCAACTTCTCCCAATTGTACTGTGAACCGACCAACATGTTCTATGGTGGAAGATCCGTCCTCCCCTGAGAATGCATGAAAATCGGGTGGTCGATAATTCCTTGGGAGGGGGTGTTCATTAATGATCCTTTCTGGGAAAGGTCTCTGATATGCAGGGCGGTTAGCCATCTGAGGAGTTAGCCCAAACTGATCCCTTAATATATGTGCAATCTCATCAGGATCTACATGAAAGCGTTGATGATCAGGAACATGGAAAGGATCCTGCACAGGAATATGAATAGGATCATGTATATGTCCTCCAGGCCTGTCCTCCCTTGTATTGTTCGGCTGCGGACTGGAAACCCTTGGTCCCAGCGGAACAGTGTTGGGAAAAGTCAGAGGAGATTTTCCCCTATCCGTTCGGTTGGGATTTGTGGCACTTGGAAATGCACTATCCACGAATGATGGCCCTGCGAAATTTGCCTGTAGTCTAGATGGTGATACTCCTGGTGGAGTTTGAGTGGGTTGAAGACTAACCCTTGACAGTGCTTGATCTAACATGTTTTGCATAACCAAAGTTTGCTGGTTGTTCATTTGTTGAACATCTGATCTCCAATCAGTTGGTGGTTGTGGGATTTCCCCAGCATTTGGCACAATAGGTGGTGGAACGGATTCTCCCACCGGTGCCGAAGATGATTGAGGTTGTGAACCTGCCATATGGACCCTTCCGATGATACGGCCGGATCTAAGACGTATGAAATTATCGCCGAAATTGGAATGAGCAATTTTGTCTTGCTCCCACTGTGGTCGCCAATTTGTTGATGTATTTTTTCAACAAAAATAAAGTAAAATTCAAAGATATAGAAAATATCCTTAAACTTGATTAATTAGTGTCTGAGATAAGAAATCTCTAAACACTGTACGGTACATAAATACTCTAGAAATTACAAACTACAATACTGGAAATTGAAAGTGGTGATCCCCAAATCTGATTTTTGCTTTCTGAGAAGTTGATTGAAGATACCCTGTTAGTTGTTGACCCAGATCCTTAAATATCCCTGTTCGAAACTGCTGCCTGATCCGTTGTAACGATTACTCTTAACCGCCTAATAGCCGCCACATGTCTCTAACCGCCTTACCAACCGCTTTATGCTTAGTCCCGACCTTATTGGCACAACCGACTACCTCTAGGCCCTTCCAAAAGTCGGTTGATCTTATCCGACCATACCAAACGCTCCCGAATTAGACAAAATACCGACGATAGGTTATAGCTAACGGACGGTTGATACCACCCGACCAATCCCAATCCTAAACAACTCTCTTTAGCCATCTAATGGGCCAGGTCTGGGCCCACTCATTTCTCCCAGTTTGGGCCATTTGACCTAGCCAATTTTTCTGTGCGTAACAATAGGATGATAATAGGTTCGAGAAAACTTGATATCCGACCGGGCCGGACCTATTTATTTGAAGTTAAGTCCAATTATTTGAGTACTAGGTTTGGATCCGGGTCATGTTCAGAGTAATATAATAATAATATATCAGCTATACATATAAAAAAAATAATTTCTAAAAACTAATTATATTAAAAATACTAATTAGTTTAACTTATGCATTATTTTATTATAATATTTTTTTAATAAAATACATAAATTTTAATAAATATTGGGTCCAGTACATGTGAAATTTTAAATTAAAATTTAAGAATCATAAAAAAAAAAAAAGATTTTTCAGATCCATTTAGTCTTACCGGGTATAGTTTCGGTCAGATCTGGTATAATCGGATCCAATTTGAGTCTCGGATCTAACAATATATATTCGGGACGAATATCAGTTCCGACTGAACCCGACTCATTGTAATCCTTGTAATTTTATAATTCAAATAAAATTTATAATAAATAATCATTTTAAACAATAAATTTATTAATTTATTTAAAAAAATATTATACCATAAAAAATAATATAAATTTAATTAAATATATAATTCAAATAATAATTAAGTTTAAAATTATTTAATTTTTATTCTATATAAATATAATTTTATTTCTTTTATAGGAGGATATAAAAATAAAGTTAAAATTCCATGAATGAAATTTAAAAGTAACAGGGTAAGGTCGTTACAAAAAAAATCTTTTATTTGTAGGATTTTGGATCCTTTTTTTAAATCTTATCATTTTAAATTTCACTTTTTTTTTTTAACCAAACATGCATTTTACGGGATTTGAATTTTAAAATCTCATAAAATTTCATTAAATCCTTGAACCAACAACCTCTTAATCTTTTTGTCTGGACAGATTCTGCCCACCCATTATTAGCAAAAAGTTAAATAATTTAAAAAACATAGCCATTTGGTCACTCCAAAATAAGTATATTTTTAGAATTTTATAATAGATTAAGAAAACAATAATTTTAGTGAGTAGAAATATGAAAGAGATTTTGATATTAAAATTAAATATTTTAATATTAATATAAAATTACTTATATTATAATAGAAAAAATAAAAATTTTAATTTTAATTATTACTATATACTAATTATTTGTATATTAAAAAATGTGACTAATCTAGTGAGATTTGCTAAAAAAGAATAAATAAACCAATTTTGTGGACAAATATAGTAGAATATAAGTACTCTCTCAATCCAAAAATTATTTTGTTTAGAAAATTCTTTTTTATTATGAATTAACAAAAATATAAGGTACAAATTAAAAATAATAAATGAATAAAAAAGTAAAAAAAAGGTAATATTTATATATAAAAAAATTAAAAAGGATAATAGTTATTAAACGTTGGAAATGGAAAAGTAGAAAATAAATATTATGATTACAACTACATTATTTAAAAAAAAGAAAGAAATTAGAATTATTAGATCTTCTCGGGTTTTTTAAATAAATGTTCTAAGTCAATAATTTTTTTTTTAAAAAGTAAACCTTAAAGTAGTTCTCAAAACTACTTAATTTTTAATAAATCGAGGAGTTCCAGAACTCCTTGATTGTAGATTTAAAGAGTTTTGAGAACTTTTTTTTGGTAATAAATTATTTAATAATTTTTAACAATATTCTGAGTAGTTCTCAAATCTCCTTAAATCTACAACGAACGAGTTTTAAAAACTTCTTTTAACTATATATATATTAATATATTTTTTTCTTTCTTATTTTTTAATAATCCCTTCGTCTGCTTATAAGGGTCGTATTTATCTTTTGCGATATTGTATTTAATATGAAAAATATCTTATATTTGTATAATTTTTTTGTACAAATATCATTTTATTAGTGTTATAAGACATTAACAGAAGTATTTTTGCAATTTTTTCTTTATTTATACTACGTTTTAATATAATAATTAATATTCAAATATCAATACGAAATGAGACTTTTAGAGTCGGATTGATGTACTATAATTTTTCTTTTGTTCATTATCTTCTTTCTAATTTAATTTAAAATAAATTTTTTATTTTTTAATCTAAAACGTAATTTTATATTGGATATTTAATTGCTAGTTTTATAAAATATTAAAAAATATTCATACACATTTATAACAATTTTGAATTTATTTTTTAATTTTTGGATGATATTGATACTATTTATATACTAGATTTTATAAAAAAATTTATTTTAAAAAAAATTTGTGTGTTCATTGATGAATGTAATATTATTAATTATTTGATATTTATTTAATTTTTTTTAATAATTTTTATAAAAGTAAATCATAATAAAAAAATTTACAAAATTATATTTTATCTCATATTATTTTTAACAATAAAAAATATAAATATAAATATATCATACATATAAAGAGTTCTAAACTAAATAAAAAAAATTCAAAATTTAAAAAAGAAAAATTAAAATATAATAATAATAATATTGCAGATCATATATAATTTACATATATATACTAATATGATATGTGCAAGATAAAATATAATATTATTAATACTTTTTATTATGACTTACGTTTAAATAAAAATTATTCCATTCGTCCCTTTAATCTTTTACGTCAGTGTACTTAATATTAAAAATATTTTTATATTTATATAAATATTATTATATTTGTTTATAAAATAAATATTTTTATTTTTTTTCTCTTGATTTGTATTATATTTTTTATGAAATAATTAATATATAAATATAAATATATAAAAAATAAATGTCAACTTATTAAGTGGACAAAAATAGTATTAAAAATAGAAAAAATATATAAAAACCAAATAATTATTAATATTATATTCATGAAAAAATATATATATAAAACAAATAATTATTAATATTTTATAAAACTAATAATAAAATACTCAACAAATATAAACTTATATTTTAGATTAAGAAAAAAAGAAAAGAAAAAATATTATCTTAAATTTATCGAGTAAGAAGATAAGGAACAAAAGAAATTTTTTTATTAAAAATAAGAAGAAAAATAAATTAATATATATAGGGTGTGTTCAGGTATGAGATTATACACAAAATTTACTATTCATTCAAATTTTTTTTTTTTTCAAAAACAACAAAGTAAACATATTTTTTAATTTTTTATATTATATTACAAATTAAATTTACTTTTAAAATATCACATCAATACGATATTTATATCACATTACATAATTATTTCAATTCAAAATTTTTATTATTCAAATTTCAATTTAAAATCCAAACTACCAAACAAACACACCCATAATAAAAAAAATAAATTCTCAAAACTCCTTCATTATAAATTTAAAAAATTCTGAAAACTCATTAAAATATTATTAAAAATTATTAAATAATTTACTATAAAAAGGAGTTCTCAAAACTTCATAAATCCTCAATTTGTCAAAATTAAAATTTACTTTTTGAAAAGAATTACTGACTTTTTACATTTATTTTAAAAAACCCCTTCTTCTCGCCCGGCACCCATCTCCTTCTTCCTTCTTCCCTTTTCTCCTTCCCCACATTCTTTTCAGTCTTCTTCACTCCTCTGCTGCTGCTGACGCTGCCTCCGTCGTCGTTAGTTCCCCAGCCGCCGTGTCCGCCATCGCTGTTGTTCCATAGCTGCCGGCTTCCCCAACCACAGCACACTTCGCCGCAGTTCACGGCAGGTTTGAGGAAAAAGCCAAGAAAAAAAAAAGTCTCAACCGCCGGTTCGACTGCAAATCGGCTATTTGAACACGGGTTGAAAAAATGTGGAGCTGAAACCAAAACCGTTTCAAAACCAACACCCCTTCTTGCAGTTTCATATTCAGCTTTTAGCAATATGTAGGAAACGTTATTGCCAATAAGGCTGGAATTTGAAGGGTTCCAACCAATATTAATGGCGGAATGTGAAGGGTCTATACAATATGTTAATCGATGAATGCCTGCCATTTCTTTCATGAAAGTCGACAGCAGAAACACTAGTGAAATCTAGTGAAACAATAATGTGAGATCAAATCTTCTATTCTTCCGTTACATGAGAAATTTTAAGAGTTCGTTGTTTTTATGGTGTTCTTATGCTTTCATTTTTGTTCTTTTTCCAGATTTTATTAGCTTGAGATGGGTAATCGTCTTCATGCTTATTTTACAGCGGCTTAGACTTTGTCCAATAGTTACGCTGTATACCAAATGTCTTCCAAGGTATATACGTATTCTTTAACTATTACTCAGTCCACGAAATCTGTATTCATTTGATTTCATTTGATAATTAAGGACATACTTTTTGTGGACAAAAAGAGAAAACAAACATAGATTTGATGGAAAGAGGGAAAAGAGGAGTATAAAACATGCTATAACATTTTTGCTGTCCTAAAAGTGAAAAATTCTTAGGTAAATCCAAGAAAAGACAAAGCAGCTACTGGAGTGGGGCAAGAAAGCAAAGATATTGAAGACATTCCATTTCTCTGCGGGAAGCCATATTTTGATGTAGTTCTTACACCAACCAATGTCGCCCCACGATGTGATTTTGTAATAGCCCTCTCTTCTATCAAACTATACAAACTATAGAGTATGTGAAAATGCTAACACATTCCTTGCGTTTCCTTTTCAATTCAGATGATGCCAGCTAAATTTACTACTCGTCTTCCTGCTGCTAATGTCCCGGCCGCGTTGAAATACAAGCGCGCCAAGTGGGATGTTTTGTACTTGGGCAGTAATGCTAACCCAAGGTTCAATTGTAAATGGAAGGTTTTTGTAAATGATAATAAACTTCAAGCTAATGACGTTTGTGTGTTTGAGCTCTTGGAGTCGAGTTCGACGGGTATTAAGTTCAAAGTTCATATTTTGAGGCATGAGCTCCCTCCCCAACTCCAATCATTAGGTCCAGTTGGTTCTTCGTTTGAAAATCCTGTGCTTATTGGATAGATATGTGTCGATGCGATGACTTTTTGTAATTTATATTATGTTGTCATGCTTAATATTGTTGACAATATTGATTTCTTTATTTAATTCTCATAAAACATAATGCAAGTTGAAAGCTTGGCAACAATTCCATCTATGTTGGATAAAGTTTCTTATCTGCGTGTTTAATTATAATTTGAAGTATGGCTTAAGTATTTGAGTAATTTTGAACATATTAAAAAAAAAACGTTTCAATACAGTATGTATTCACAAATTGAACGATGTATTTTTTAATAAAGAAAAATAAAGTTGAGTTTTGAGTTTCTTATTTGATTTACATAGTTTATGTTGTGGTATTTTGCATTGGACTGGTGTGTGACCACTGCTCAATCTCTTCTACAATTTATCATCTTCGAAGAGGTAATCTATCGGTACTGTTGCTATAGCTCCTTCAAAACTATCCTTAGTTTCAGGGACCCCTTTTTCTGTTTTTAATTTTCTTGACATTCCCATAAAGTGGCTCGACTATAAATATCTTAAGGGGTTAGTAAACCATTTTCAGGGACCCGATCATTGTCATTTTGATTGAGAGAGAATTGTGTACAGAAAACCATAATGTCTTGTTGGCTAGAGTATATAGTATTACTGTGATATGTCACTAATATCAAATTGGAAACTACTTGTTACATGTAGGTTGGAACAGTACTGTCGAAATTTTTTGAGCATGTAACTCTGCTGCCGGGCATGGGGGAAAGAATGATACCAACTATCTCAATATTGCTGACCTGATGTAAAGATTAGATGGACTATAGGCTGAACATATTATATATTCTTGCTTCGATCATACAAGGTAGTCCATCACTTTGCTTGTTTTGTGCTGAATTGAGATTTGGTGTGCAATCTTTATTATTGATTGGTGTTAATTAAATTGGAGGTACTGATATTATGAAATTTGTGGATGATTGAATTGTTGTGTTCTTTGTGGTTCCTACATAACACAGATCATGTGTTCTTTATGATCTTTGGACAAGTGGTTTATCAAATTGTGTTTTGGGAGTTCGAATTTTTAGTTGGGATTTGAATAGTAAAAATTTTGAATTGAAAATTAATTTTTAATATAATATAGAAAATAAACAATAATATTTGATTTGATATTTTTTTTGAAATTTTTTTTAGGAGTAGTAGAATTTGGAAAATTTTGATAAAAGAACACACCCTTAGTATATTTGATTTTTTTAACATTATATATTTACTTTAGTTTCTTGTGCTTTTTGTGTTTTGTAGGTTTTGGCTTTTGTTGTCTTTTAGGAATAGTAGTTGGATGTATCGTTTTGAATTGAAATGGTGATGCAATTGCGTAGTAAAAAAAAAAAATTGAAAAGAAAAATTTAAAAAGAGCATAGCTTTAGTGCTTCGATTTTGAAAGTTTTCTAACGGAATTAGATCTGTGATATTATTTTGAGGAAATAGTTATAAATTAACCTGGAAAGTCGAAAAGTAATGGTGGAGCTACTTATTCACTTTGTGTAGTCAACTTTTGAGGATAAAAGGTTAAACTATATGCAGAATTTACCCTTTGATTTCTTTTCTGGAACTTTATCATACCCACTAATCAAGTTGATTGTATACTAACTTGGCCACATAAGCATATGTGATACAATAGGAAATCGGAAAAGTTTTGAGACATTGTGTAGGATAATGATATCAGAATATTACTACACATTGTTTCATTATTCTTTGCCATGGCAACTTGAAGCATCATTGTATCGATCTTTCAAGAACTTGGCGAAGACAATGTGAAGGCGTGCAAGGCATGCGCCCTTGAGGAACTGGCAAAGGATTTGAACCCCTTGTTGTCATTCTTGAAATCTTCAACACAGGCAGCTCGGTAATGCCCAAGGTTAGTACTCTTATTTACTTAAATTTAATTTATTTTTATTTCGTTTTACAAGCATTATCCTATTGTTTGGCGAACACATTCAACCTAGAATTATACTATGATAAGTATGTTGTTTAGATATTCACTGTGAAGATTTTCGTATGGTGAGAAACCTGTAAAACTTCTAATCGATAAACTTTCATTTATTTCTCAATTTTGGTCGGAGAACTAATGAATATTAGAATTTTAGCTCTACACCTCGAATATGATATGTGTTGGAAATGCAGACCATGTAAGTGTCCTTTTGGGCATAAATATATTGAAATTCCAGGTAGGCAATAATTTTGTCGAGGATTTGATTTTGTTATGCAAATGGGGGAAGCTGCACTTTTAGATTAGAATGAGTTACAAGAATTATATCATATTTGAGTTAGCGTCGTGGTTACGGTGCTAGATTGAGAAAACGTGTTACATTTCCCCTATCAACACTGTATTTGAGTTCAAAAAGCTTTGATCACGAGTTCAGATAGCACAACTTTTAAATATAGCTTATACTTTATGGAATCTTGATCAATGTTATGTGTTTTGGACCATTGATCCATGTCTTTCTCAACTTTTTGATTGGTGCTATTTAGAAAATTTTATTACGATATCATGTGTTTAATAGGAAGATGTAATGTACTTACGAGTATGTTACATGTTTTTAGTTATTTGGATTCCTGGCGAGTGCTTTTGGAAGTTTTGGTCAATACTTAAATCAATACTGTAACCATCACCTTGAATTAGATAATGTTTTTACATATTGTTTTTTCTTTTTTTTTTTTTAATATTTTATTTTCATCCTTATAGCAAAGTTGGATGACCAATATTTCACTTATATACTCCCTCCGTCCCATAAAGAAATACTCCCTCCGTCCAGCTAGAAAGTATACATGTTTTTATTTTGGGACGTCTAATTACAAAGTAAAAATTTCATTAAATACCTTACTTTTTCCCACAAATACTCCTACTTTACATCACATTATTTTTACACCAAAAAACAAGGGCAAAAATGTCATTACATTACTTTTAACTACCCACTATAATTAAAATACTATTATTTCTTAAACTCCGCGCCAAAAGTAATTGTATATTTTTTTTGTGGACGGAGGGAGTATTCATTTGCTTTTTGCACGTAGTTTTAGAAATATTAGTATTATATTGGGATATAGTAGAAATAAAATAGAAATGACTAAAATAATCTTATTAGTATATGTGATACAAAGTAATGACATTTGTGTAATATATTATAAATTGTAAATTTTTTATTATTTCCAAAAATCTTCAAAATTCTTATCTAAACAAAATTCAAATTTGCAACTGAATGAATAATAAATTTTTACTATATATTTTTGTGCTTTTAACTTTTTCTTCTTCACGATTTTCCTAAAAAATTAATATACGGTTCACATTCATTATTTTTATATTCTTTTATCCAATCTTTTATACCTTATATAAATTTTTTTTTTCAATAATATCTAAAAACAAACACACCCTTAGTATTTAGTAAAAACTAGGAAATAAATAGATATTTTAGTTTGATTTTAGAAATAACAATTGATAATACTTTATGTGCTTAAAGTATTTTTAATTTTTATACTTTAGTTTGATGTAAGTATAAACTTGAGGCGAGGCGTTTTTGTAATTTCTAGTAATGTCGAATTTAGTTAAGATAAAAATATATATTTTCGCTATGTTTACACAACATATTTTTATTCATTTGATAATATTTATTTTTCAAAAAATATCACATCAAATACACTTTTTTCCTCACAAAATATCAAATTAAATATTAATTTTTTATTTTTTTCAAACTTTCAAATTTTCAAAACCTTAAAAAACTCAAATGACAAAATTGCCCATAATTTCCTTGTAGTTTCGAAACTCAGCGTAAATTTTCCCTCTATTTTGAAAATTGTATGACGTCCTTTTATACTTTAAAAAATGTTGCATGAAACCACTTTGTGGTTTCGAAACTCACCATAAATTCCTATTTTATTTTAAAAAATTACATGACGTTCACTTATATTTTAAAAAATATTACATAAAACTCCCCTGTCATGCAAAACATATAGATAGAAAATCATCTTCTTATCACACGAGGAAAGTTTCATGCAACATTTTTTAGAGTATAAAAGGTACCATGCAATTTTTAAAATACAAAAATATTTTACACAAAATTTTAAAATCACGTGAGAGTTATAAGCAATTTTACCAAATGTTTTGAGTAGTAAAAAATAAAGGATAGCTTTATTAAAAATTGTTGTACGATTACCTAATTCTCCCTAACACTAACACAACACACTTAATTGCATTTGCAGTTGGCAATTGACAAATCACAATTATTAAAGTAGTTGTTAAGGCATTCATTTGCCACGTGGTCCTCCATTCATACCGGAAATCTGCATTTATTTGCGCATGAATTGACCCTCAACCTCAAGATACATATGTATATGGACTTCCAAAATTCCTCTCCTATGTTTGCATTTAATTAATATACTCTTTTCGTTCGCCTTTCGTGATCGTATTTATTTTTTGTGTTATTATATTTAATATTAAAAATATTTTTATATTTTTATAATTTTTTGTACAAATGTTCTTCTATTAATGTAGAATATTTTTACAATTTTTTCTTAATTTGTATTATATTTTGATATAATAATTAATATTCAAATATCAATATCCAAAAAAATAAATGAACCGAACGGAGATAGTATTTTTTATTTTTAAAAAATTAATCTGTTAGATATTAATTTCTATTTGGGGTTTGTTTATCAATTTTTTTAGTTTATATTCTCTTAGTCTCAATTCAAGTATTTTTATTATTATTATTTTTGTGTTTTATTTAAAATTAGCTATTTTTATTTTAGAAAAAGTAACTATAAATTAATACCAAAAATATTTTTTAACTTTTACGTAATTAAAAATATATTATTACACATGAAAATACTTTATACTCTCTCTGTTCTTTTAACAATCTATCTATTTTTTCATTTTGGTCTGTCTCAAAACAAAGTATTCATTTTTTTTTATAATAATTATACTATGTTACCTAACATTAGAAATATCGTTCTAATTTACAATATATTATACAAATATCATTACATTTATATCATACAATACTAATAAGGTTGGTTTAGTTTTTTACTTTTATTTCTACTACATCTCAATATAATACTAATATTTCTAAAACTCTGTAGAAAAAGCAAATGAAGAT